TTTGTTAAGTGAAATTCTGTATCACTTGTAATTTTTGTTTTAGTACTATTTTGTACTCTCCTTAAAAATAAAAATTAGAAAAATATCATTTCCATAAAGAATATTCAGTAGCTCTGCTTCAGTGATTCTAAGATTAAGAAGTGACAGGCTATTTTCCAAGAAATGGTAAAGGAATAGTATAAGCCCTTTGGAAATTTTTATTCACTGACAACTGGGAAATGTAAACGACTATGGATTAGCTTTAATGGAGTCATAGCATGGAGGAAATCTGAAAGTTATTAAATTTTGAAAAAACAAATTCATGCTTATTAGAAATCTCTGTGTTTTAGAAGAAATCTGGGATCATTGGTATCCTATGGAAACATACTTTCTAGTGGTGACTACAGGGATGATAGGCATAATTAGAATGAATCAAGGGCACAGTCAGAAGTGACAAGAAGGGGCCATGGGCACAATAAAAAATGCAAAAAGAAGAAAGGCAATTAGCTACCCTCTGCAATGTTAGATAATGCATTATCAGACTGGTCATGGTGTATCAAAATGGGTACAAGTGATGGCCATGCCAACGAATTTGGTACATGTGATCAATGCTTTTAATACAGGGAGGTTCAAGAACCAAGTGGAGTTGTGTAGAGGAAACGAAGTCATGGTGTACATCTGAGTTCAGTGCATACATTTCAGTTTTGTCACGATGTTAATCAAGCTGTTTGTGTTTGTTTGCCAGCTATTTCACATTGTAGCACAACACTTTTTATATTGGTGTGTTCCTGATTTTATATCACCAATCAAGCAACATTCTGCTACTATCACTGCAATACTTAACTGAGAACTGGTATCATTTAAAGGTAAAATGAGAAGAAATTTTCTGCTTTCCATCTCCAGGCATGTTCTCTGTGGAAAATTAGTTTGTGTCCAGCCACATAAGAACACTAATAAAAGTGTTGTTCAGTCTGCAGTTTATTCATATGTTCATGATTATGAATGTCTGTCCATAACTCCTGGGACATCTTTGAGATCAGATGGGACAGATGATACCTATGTGGCTGACGGCACTGTGTGTGGACCACAAATGGTAATGAAGTGTGACATTTTATATTTACTGATGTTAAATTATGTTAATTATTGCACACCATGTACCATGGTGACTACCCCAATTATACAGAATGGACTTGAACCTGGTGATGCATTTTTAGTGGTATCTTGGTTAATAAACATAATTTGTTTCATGATTCTGGCCATAAACTCAATTGTTCAAGAACCAAATCTAATTTCCCCATGAGTGTCAATGTAAAAAAGGTTATATTCTGAATTTTATACACTTTTTAATCACAAGAATATGAAACAAAGTACAGTACAGTAGAGTACAATATGAAGAGAGAGAGCACTGACCTTGCTTATGGTGACTTCTGGGATGAAGGACTGGAAGGTGGGTGAGGAAGAGGTCATCGTTTGGCAGGTCACCTCCATAGGGACATCTGGAGATCTCCATCAGGGTTTTCCTCTCTTCTTTGTCTCTTAGCTAGTAGACCAATTTTAACGCAACAAATCTACCTAATGTCAGTTGTCTTCTTCTAGTTACAGTTCCTTCATAACCCTTCAGAAGTGATAGACCATGCAAGAAGTAATCAGATTCAACATTCCATTCCATACAGCTATGTTGAAGTGTTGCCTCTCAAAGAAATCCTGGCATTCATTCCATTTTTCCACAGTGGATTTTATCACATCACTGCTAAGCTCCTCCATCTTTCTCTTCCTCAGTGCAATGCTCCTCAACAAGTTCCTTCTGCTCCTCACCCGAGTTCAGCAAGTTTTTGTCATCAGCTCCTTCTGATGGTCTTCAGTGCCATCAATTTCCAGATCCACCCTCTTGCCCAAAGACAATTTTCGCCACTACTTGTGTATCCAACCATTCAGAGTTACATCCCATGACACATTTTAGCTGGTTTCCTCCAGGCTGAGTTTAAAGTTTGGTATCTTCCCCAGCTTTGTCAATGAAGTTGATGCAGTGGAGGACATTGAGATGTTTCTCCCAAGAACTCTTTCGAGTAAGGGACATCTCTTCAGTGACAGTAAAGCACCTGGTGAAGAGCACCTTTGTGCACAGCATCTGAAAGTTGCAGATCACTTGCTGATGCATACACTGAAAAGAGAAGCCCTGTGGGGGGAGATTTGCCCTTTATGAATATCATGCACCAAGACCAGAGGTTGTGCTGGGATACTCCTTCAGGAGAAAGCAGTTGATTGTCAGAAAGAACTTGCTTGCCTGCCTGCCTTCCTTCCTTCCTTCCTTCCTTCCTTCCTTCCTTCCTTCCTTCCTTCCTTCCTTCCTTCTGTCTTTGTCATTTTTTTT